GAACCGCGACGGGGTGAGCTCGTTGTGTGGATCAATGGTGGCGATGGTTCGGACGGCGAGGGCTAGGGAAGGGCGGGCAGCGTCGGGCTGCAGACGCAGAGACGCGGGGCGATGGGCGATGGCGAGAGTCTCAGGTCAAGTGCATGTCCCACCTCTGGTCGCTCCCGGTCCTCGCTCTCCTCATTACGGCCACGCGCCGCGTGCCACTCGCTCGTTTTTACTCTTCGACCTCAACGACGACGACGACGACGACGACGACGACGACCTCTGCCGCTGCTCTCGTCTGGCAGCCATCGTGCTCCGCCGCTGCCCCTCACGCTCAAGCTCAAGCCCATCTCAGGGGAATGCTCACACTCAGGCGATTAGCGCGAGTCGCTCGTCGGTCACGGTGTCCAATCGATTGCAGCTCAGATTCCCGTCTGTCTGCAAGCAGGACGGTCCGAAATGAATGGCAGATAAATCCGACATGGGCCTTTATCTGTAGCTCCGCCGCTCGCTTGTCGTCTGCGCTGCCGCCCTTGGCCACCTGCTCCCCCCAGCCTCATGGTCTGCGCGAGCTCTGGCTATCGAGCAGACAGAAGCAGGGCACGCGTCGAGTGATTGCGATTGCGATACTCATCGTGGTACGGCCATCGGGTTCTGTCCTTCCGCTCGAGCTTGAATGAAGCCAAGTGGGGAAATCACATCCAGTGAGCTTACTTACTTTTAGAGCTGATGTAGTCTCCCTCTTCGCTGACAGCCACACCGTTTCGTCTCGCCACCGAGCACTATCCGGCGCGCGGAGTCCTTTATGTGGCGCGGACCATGTTCGAATCGTAATGCGCTAGTAGCGGATATCTCTTTGGACATCAGTGCCCAGCGTCCGCCTTTAGAGTACTCAACCTATCACACCAATCGTACCCGCCTTGATCGTATGGCGTCAGGACTTTCATTTATTCTTCGACAGATCCTATTACAATAATCACACCGAGCTTCGCTTATGCAACCATCTTACCTGCCCAACAGACATGGAGTCGCGATCTGGCGCTGGGTGTAAGCCCAATAAAACCCAAAATCTTCCCTGCCCCGCATCACTGCACACGCCTGTTGGCACTCCTCGACGTCGCCCTGGTTATCGCCGCTTTCGCTCAAATTATGATGTCATATCCGGCCCCCGGTGTCTGGGACGGCCGTGGGGTCAAGTTGGCTTCCAAAATCTAGCAACCTCCCCTAACATTCTCATCAGCAGGAACACTCTGGTGGCACCGGTGATATTGCGTTCTCAAGCTTCGACCTCCTAGTGGCGTCACTCTAATCCTGTTCAGCGTTACGCACCGCATTCAAAATATTTCTTGCATTCCGCTCATCCAAACGTAGACGCCGTACAGACACTTCAAGGCTCAGTGGGACTGTGGGCCCGTTTGAGGTGCCGGAAAGCCCGGACGCTGTGCTATGTATAACGAAGGTCACGCAGCCTTCGCAGACCCTAGGTCACTGCTCTCGCGCTCCAGGAATTTGGCTGATCTCGCCCGCGCTCTCACCCTACCTTGCAGCAGCTGCGTACCTCGATGGTCCTCCACTGGGCGACCATGTCACCTGCACGACCGCGTATATCTGGGCGAACGGCGCTTGCGCCGTAATGATGGGGACGTCTCCACGCATGCGCACATACGTGGCTAGCGGTACAACGACCAGGGCCGTGTCCCGTAGCCTCGTTTCACTCGCACAGCCTGCGCCAGTGCCCATCATGCCCTGGTGCGTCGTGCTCTTGCCCCCGTTGTGATGACAGTCCTGGCGTTCCGTGCTGCCATTCAGCCGAGGACGCTGTCTTCGGGAGTCGCGGGCCTCAGCGCGTACGCAGGACATGGGGAGGTGCGCACGCGGACCGTACCGTCTGTCTGTACTGTCGCATCATCGCACCCAACAGTCACGCTGAAGCACGCCGGTGATGTCACCCTCCCCCCCCCTCCCACGTCCCGCATCTGCCGCATCTCGGTCCTCTCGGTTTCGCCCCCGCGCTCCTGTTGTGCTGCTCGGCCTCCAGCAGCCTTGCAGGGCGCCAAGCCGCAGCCGCGCGTTTGCACGCTTTGTGTTTCCAGGACGGCCGACGGGTGGTGGGACGGCAAAGCTGGCCCACACGGACGCACGGGGACGGCCACACGCCCTGCCTACCCCGGCTCGCCCCCGCCGCGATCCCAGCCGTTCATCACGCCCCCGCCACCGACTCCCCACCAGCCACCAGCCCGGGCCCGCTTCACGACCGACGCCCGCGCGCGCCCAGAGTCGAC